TACTCCTGGCTCTGCACTCAGGAATTACCCCTGGCGGTGCTCAGGGGACCATATGGGATGTTGGGAATCGAACCCGGGTTGGCCGCTTGCAAGGCAAATGCCCTACCCGCTGTGCTATTGCTCCAGTCCCATATTTTCTTTTTTTTTTAATGTAGGAGTATACAGCTATTTATTCAGCCACTGATTAAACTGATTGGACTAGGCATGAACCCTGCCTTAATTTTTTAAAATTTTAAAAAAAATTTTCATAAAGTTGTTCACAATAATGATTTACATTCAATATTTCAACACCAATCCCACCACCACTACTTTGAATCTTCCCCCTATCACCCCAGCCTGCCCCTCAGGCAGAGGCCAAATAATTTATTTTGTATTGTTTGCCATGAATAGTATGAGGTGTCACGCAGCCGAGAAAGTGGCCACGCGCTCCTGTAATTCTAAAATTTTTAAATATTTGGGGTCTGGAGCCATCTCTGCAGTGTGCTGCTCTCTTCAAAGATTCGTTTGTGAGTCTCTGAATCATAGTCGTTAAAGCTCTTGAATGGCGCCCAGAGGCAGTTCGTGGATGTGACTGCCAGGGAACCAGACGGGCCAGGAGATGGGGTAAGGTCACCTGTTCCCAACTCCGTGAGGACTGGAGTTTTCAGTCACTAGTCCCTCACTCCACGCCAGGCTTTTTCCACTTGGGGAGCTCCAGACGGGGGTGGGTAAGATCCCTCCCCACCCCAAGGGACCAGCCCTGGCAGTCGACCTCCACTACCCAATGGCCACCACACTTCAGGCCACTTTCTGGACTGCGAGGCTGCTTTGACACATCATAGGACACTGCCTACCCCCTTGTCCATAATTACCAAACCTGTTTGATGGAGTTCAGACAGTTGCAACAGATCATAGAGAGAAATATATATTCTTGGAGTGCCCGGCAAGCTACCGAGAGTATCCTGCCTGCACGGGCAGAGCCTGGCAAGCTACCTGTGTCGTGTTCGTTATGCCAAAGCCAATAACTATAATGGGTCTCATTCCCCTGACCCTGAAAGAGCCTCCAATCGTTGGGAAAGACGAGTAAGGAGAAGCTGCTAAAATCTCAGGGCTGGGACGAATAGAGACGTTACTGGCGCCTGCTCGAGTATGACAGTGATGACAGGGATGACAGGGATGACCGTGATACAGTGATGCCATCCCGCATACCTGGATTTTTCAGCAGATTCATTCTCATACGTTGGGGGCTTGGGATGAGCCTGTGAAGGTCAGCCGTAAGCGTGGTGGCGATTGGGTTCTGGAGGTTTGTGGCTGCCGGGATTCATTTGAGGCAGGCAGAAGGACACACCTGCTCCCTCCAAGGTGCCCCCGTGAGCTCAGCCAGGCACAGGCTGGGAGACATCTCTGCAACACGCTGCTCTCCTCCAAGATTCATTTGTGAATCTCTGAACCATGGCCATTAATGCACTTAAATGCCTTCCTTTGATCTCTTGAGAGATTTATTTATGGGTCTCTGAAGCAAGGCCAATAAATGAGCTCCTATAGCTAAGTTGGAGGTGGTTTGTAGGCGTGACTCCCACATACCTGACTTTTGGCCGTTTAATTTCTTGGGAAACTTGGTCCCAAGTTGTTGGGTCCGACCGGAGGCACAACGGCAGGCACCATCAGGTACAGGCTGACCTGCTGCGTGGCACCCTATCCCATCTTTTATTTATTTTTTAAGAGGAAGGGTTGGACCACTTTCGGCAGAGCTCAGGGCTTACTCCAGGCTTTGTGCTCAGGGATCACTCGTGGAAGTGCTCAGGGGACCATATGAATGTGTGGGATCAAACCAGCATCAGCCGTGTGCGAGGCCTTCCCTGCTGGAGTGTCTCTCTGGCCCTTTTCTTTGATTTTATTTGGCTTTGGATTTGGGGCCACACATCCAGCTGCACTCAGGGCCTTCTCCTGGCACACTGCTTGGGAACACTCACTCTTGTGAGTGCTGGGGGGATCCTGACACTTCTGGGACTGAAGCCAGACCTCTGGCCTGCAAAGCCTGCATGTCGCCTTGGGTCCCTCTCGGGCACAAAGCAGGCCATGGGGGCCAGAGTGACAGTACAGCAGGGAAGGCAATTTGCCGCGACACAGCTATCCGGTTCAATCTCTGCCATCCCACACGATCCCCTGAGCACTGCCAGGAGTAATTCCTGAGCACAGAGCCAGGAGTAATCCCTGAGCATTGCCAGGTGTGCCCCCCAAAACAAAAACAAACAAAAATAGTTGTGAGATCACAGGAGAGCTTCGGCCCAAGAGGTGGACTGGAGAACATTTGCAAGGCCTGTTGGTTTCATTTCCTCTTTGTGTCCTTTTATCTCTATCTGGTCAACACTTTGGCCAAATATTTGCTTTCCCTTCTTCCGGTAAGTTGTCTGCCTCCATCTGAAGTCCTAAGTTCCCGCCTCCATGTACCTGCTTCAGACCCCGACTGCTGGTTCTAGAGCCTGGTACCTTTGTGGGTTCCCAGAGATGCAAAAAAAATTTTTTTTTGGGGGGGGTCACACCAAACAAAGGCTAAAGACTTACTCCTTGCTGGCTCTCAGGGATCACTCCTGGCAGGCTCAGGGGATCACACGGGATGAAGGAAAAAAGTACTGGGAAAACGCAGTGTACGAGACAAGCACCCTGCCTGCTGTACTGTCGCTCTGGTTTCCAACAAAATTTTTAAAAATGTTTTTCCTCTTGGGGCTGGAGGGGAGGACATTTGCCTTGCTTATCCGACAGACCTGGGTTTGATCCCCAGCATCTTTGATGGTTCCCAAAGCTCTGCCAGGAGTAATTCTGAGTGCGGAGCCAGGAGGAACCCGAGCTTTGCTGGGTGAACCAAAAAGCCTAAATAAATAAATAAATAAAATAAAGTTTTTCTCTTGCTAATTTTTTTTTTTTTTGTTTTGTCTTTAGGGCCCACACCTGACAGTGCTCTGAGCTCTTCCTGGTTGTGGGTGGGAGGTGTGGGGAGAGAGTGAGGAACATACAACTTCGGGAATTGAGCCTGGGGCCTCAAGCAGGCAAGTGCCCTGTTGCATGCCTGGCACCTCTTGTTAATCTGCTTATGTCATATCTATGATTAGAACAAAAAGCCCTAGAGATTTCCTCCCTAAACAGTTCGTGAAGGGGCCAGATTGCTAGTTCGGCAAGGAGGGTCCTGGCCTTGCATACAGCCAACCCTGGGTTCACACCTGGCAGTGCTCAGGGTTTACTCCTGGTGGTACTCAGGGGACCATACAGGGTGCTGGGGATCGAATCCGGGTTGACCGCATGCAAGGCAAAGTGCCCCACACGCTGTGTTGTTGTTCCAGGCCCCAGAGCGCAACATTTTGACTGGCATGTCCAGACTTTACCCCGAAAATGGCCTCGTCTGCCTCCTCCTCCCCATTCCCAGAGGACCGGGAAGACATGTTGGGGCCACCACAGACAAGGCAGGACAAGGCAGGACAAGGCAGCAGCAGTGTCGTAGGGGACCGAGGAGAGAGAAGCTGGGTCCCCCACATGTCCAAGGATGCCGGGAGTCCAGCCTGCAGAGGGGGGGATGACTAGGTCACGTTCCAGGACACAAGGAGACTCGACCTCGCATTGCATCAGTCACTCAGGAGCCAATGACCTTGGGCAAATCGATCCTGTGTGTCCATAGAAAGGGCAAAAAAACAACAGGGTGGCGAGCACCTCCGCCTCCACTGAGGGCACAGTGAAAAAGGCCAGGCCTGCACGCTGGATTCCTGCGGGCAAGCTGTCCCGTGCAGGCTGGGGGACAGCATGGTGGGGGTGGGGGGCTGGAATCATGCTGAAGCAGGGAGCAGTTGTTTCCGGGTTAAAGGGCACCATGTTCTTTCCTCCCATCTATTGGGCTCTGCCAGAATTTGGAAGATGCAGAACCTGGAAGAAACTCAGCTTTCCCCTTCCTCTTTGATTTTCTTCCGCCCCCTCTCCCCCCACCTCTCCGTAGTTAGAGCACCGGTGTGGCTCCCTCCCATCCCCCTTTCCTGGCCTGGGAATAAATGGCTTTAATAGAGGGCACTGGCTGGATCCACCAGTGAGCATTCACTCCTGCAAGAGTTGTTTTTCAAGGGTGCAGCAATCAAATACCGGGCTCCCTGATAGCCCGTCTCATTAAGCCATCCGTGTTTACACACAGTGCTCCAGCCCTTGGGTCAGCTCTTGAGTTCGGAAAACAAAGGGCTAGTATACTCTGCGCTGGGTGTGTGTGACCGAGACAGGAACAAGGACACTGGCAATTGCTGGCTTGGCCTCCGGTGACTGCACAAGGCAGTGTCACCACCAGGACAGGAAATACAAGTGTCTGAGCAGCCTGGCAGGGAAAGGGAGGCCCTGGGCCTTCATTGCGATTCCCGAGTGGCCGGGACCCCAGAAAACCGGGCGCCTCTCGTGGGAAGCTGGGAGGACAATTTAAGCCAGAGAAGGCAACAAAGTAACTGCAGAAACCAGCGTGCTGACACTCAGGGGAGTCACGTGGGCGGTCCCGCGGCCGGGAGCCGGGTAAGAGGACACCGACCAGGCAGGGCCGCATGCTCGTGGGCCCCACGGGCAGGCAGACGGAGGAACAGCTTAAAGGTGCCAGCCTGGAGCGCAGAATCAGGCCGGGAGGGGGTCGGCGGAGAGAGCCCCCACGGCGCGTGGCCGCTGCACGCTGCACCCGGCCCGGCTCCTTCTGGAAGAACGACAAAGACATCAAAGGACGATAGGGGTGCCCCGAAGGCTTAGGCCCGGTCGGGTCACGTGGCTTCCCTCGGCGGAGAGACGTGGCAGCTAACCGGCGACTCGCGTACCTGGCGACACGGCGAGGGGACGGGAACTCGAAAAAGCCAGCGCGGGGCCGCGCGCGGGCCCAGGCCGCGGCGCGGGCGCGCGCTCGGGCGGCCAGGCCCCGCCCCCGCCCGCCGGCCAATGGGGAGGCGGCGTGCGGGCCACACCCCCGCGCGGCCCCGCCCCGCCACGTGACGGCCGCGCGCCCGGCTCGGGCTTCCGCGCTGCGGGCGAGCCGGGCGGCGGGCGCTCGGGCCGGGCGGGGGTCGCGGGCAGGGGGCGCCGCCCGAGCGGTCCGCGCGCCTCCCTCGCAGCGGCGGCGGCGGCTGCGGGCCGCGGAACCGGCGCGGCCATGGCTTCGAGCGCTCCGCAGAAGGAGAACACGCTGCTGCACCTCTTCGCCGGCGGGTGAGTCCCTGCGGGTCGGGGTCGCGGCAGCGCCGCGCGGGGCCCGCTCGCCGCAAGGACCCCCGCAAGGGGCGACCGGGCCGCGCAGGGCAGCGGGCCAAGGAGGGCCGGGCTGCGGGGGGCGCCGGGGGCTCGATCGGGGGTCCTGGGGGACACGGCGGGCGCTGTTGGGAGGCCTGGGGGCTCGGGGCGCGCTACTGGGGGGCCTGGGGGACACGAGGGCGCTATTGGGGGCCTGGCGGACACGGGGGCGCTCTTGGGGGCCTGGGGGACACGAGGGCGCTATTGGGGGGCCTGGGGGACACGAGGGCGCTATTGGGGGGCCTGGGGGACACGGGGGCGCTATTGGGGGGCCTGGGGGACACGGGGGCGCTATTGGGGGGCCTGGGGGACACGGGGGCGCTATTGGGGGACCTGGAGGACACCGGGGCGTTATTGGGGGCCTGGGGGGACAGGAGGGCGCTATTGGAGGGCCTGGGGGGACACGAGGGCGCTATTGCGGGACCTGGGGGACACGAGGGCGCTATTGGGGGCCTGGGGGGACATGAGGGCGCTATTGGGGGGCCTGAGGGGACACGGGGGCGCTATTGGGGGGCCTGGAAGACACCGGGGCGTTATTGGGGGCCTGGGGGGACACGAGGGCGCTATTGGGGGCCTGGGGGACACGGGTCGCTATTGGGGGGCCTGGGGGACACGAGGGTGCTATTGGGAGGCCTGGAGGACACCGGGGCGTTATTGGGGGCCTGGGGGGACACGAGGGCGCTATTAGAGGCCCTGGGGGACACGAGGGCGCTATTGGAGGCCCTGGAGGACACCGGGGCGTTATTGGGGACACAGGGAGCGCTATTGGGTGGCTGGAAAGCGCTATTAGGGGGCCCTGGGGACATGGGGGGGACGCTCTGGAGGACCCTGGGGGGCACGTGGGGCACTGTTGGGGACCCTGCGGGCCCGGGGGCCGTATTGGGGGGCCCTGGGGAAATGGGGGGGTGCTACTGGAGGCCCTGGGCGTCCGGGGTGCTAATGGGGGCCCTGGGGACACGGGGGCGCTGTCGGGGGCCGGGGGAGGCGGAGGGCTGCGGCTGGGAGCAGGGGGAGGGGGTGTTGACAGCGGCGCGGGCGTCACGGGAAGGCGCGCCCCGGCTTCCTTGCATCAGCGCGCACCTGATGCTTTGCAGCGCGCGCACCTATTTTTAGGCGGATGGGCCCGCCGTGGGGCGAGGAAGGGAGCCCGTGTCCCCACCCCGCCGGCAGGGAATGGGAGTGACGAGCGCCTGAGTGTCAGGGACGCCGCAGTGGCTGTGGGCCCCTGTGACGTCTTCCAAATGTCTGGAGGCTCCTTGGAGAGCCTCAGGGCTTGTCGTCATGAGCGTGGGGCCTGCAGCGGAGTGAAAATGGAATTTTCGTTTCCTCCTGGGTGTTTTCCTGGCAGCTGAGTATACCTGGGAAGGTAACTCAGCTGAAAGTGCTCAGACTCCTACAGGGGTGGGGGTGGGGGTCAGGCCATGCCTTTGTTTCCCCAACCCAGAGTGGGTTGTAAACAGAAAGAATCCCTCAGAGGATTTCTCCTTCTGCCCCACCAACTGCCACTCCCTTTACAGTTTTCTTTGAAAGGGACCCGGGGCAGGGAAGCCTTCACTTTAGACTTTGTTCATTTGTCCTTCTGGGGAGTTTTTAACAAGCTCTCGAGTCACCAAAGTCATTTGTCGCACCAAGAAGGATGATCCTTTATGTGACTTACCACCCGGGCGGTTTTCGTTTCGGAGCTGGTGCAGCGGGTGGAGTGGCCGCGCAGGCTGGCCGTGTAATAGATGGCCCTGTCGGGGGCAATATCCTGGCGCGCCCTTCACCCTGCCCTCTCGCTGGTTTCCCTGCCTGGCGAGGGAGGAGAGTCCCCAGGGCAGGACTGACGGCTCCGTGGCAGGTCTATTAGCCTGCGTGGGAAGTTCTAGTGTTTGCCGGTGCCACAGCAGTGCTCCATGGCCAGGAGAGAAATCTGGGACAGCCCCACAAACACAGACACATGCACACACACACACACACACACACACACACACACACACACGGATACCATCAATTAGCTTCTAGATCTCTCCCAACAATGACGTGCACGGACTTGTGTCTCTTGGGAGCACCGTTAAAGGAGCTCTGTGTGCCTTGCAAGGCGGGTTGCCGGCGGCTCGTCAAGTGGGGAGTGTGGGAGTAAACTGAGGAAAGTTCATCCCTACCCGACTCACCTCGGCTCCCAGCACTGGGGAGAGGCCTGGCCCAGATCCTCACCTCAGCGCAGGCCTCCCAGACTCTTGCCTCTCCCTCGCAGGAAGGCGTTTCAGGAGACTGCGGTGATGAAGCAAGTTCTCCAGGCAGTTCTCACTGGAACTTTATTTACACAGCCTTGAGGGAGAGGAAGGGAGAAGGACCGTGTTAAAGAGGGAGCATAGGTTTCCCCAGAGTGGGAAAGGTAAGCAGAGCAACAGCAAGTGGCCAAGGGACGTGTTGGAAAGAGGACCTTGAAGAGCGAGCCCTCGGCGGCCTGTATGCAGTTCTCCCAAAGGGATTTTCCTGGAGTTTTGCACCCGTAAAAAGTCTGGGTGTTGTCACAGGAAAACCTGTGGCCTTCTCAGAATCTTCTGGGCTCTTCTGTAGCTTCTCCTGGCCTGAGGGTCCACCCTTCTCTTGAGTGGTGCCTCAGTTTCTCCCTCCCATAAAAGGCTCCGGGTCTGTCTGTCCAAGGAATGTGGTCTCCGTGCCTCTTCAGCTTTGGCCGTCTCTGCCTAAGTTTTTATTATTGCTGTTTCCCCAAAGTGCATTACCAGGGTCCCCTACCTGTCTCCCTCCAGCAGGTGTGACTGTCCCTGCTGAGACAGCTGACCAGCGGGCTCTGCGGCCCCCAGTGAGGAGCTGAGCTGGCATCTTTCCCGAGAACTCAGTTCACTTCATTGAAAAGAAGTCAAGCTCCTCCTTTTAAAAATCTAACCCCGTTTCTTCTGTTTATTGAATATCCCTGGAAACTTGCATCAGACACATTTAGCACTGAGTGGATTGGATTGACGCGAGAAAGCGCCCCAGCAAACACGCTTGTTACCCAGGAGTCCTGCCCTTGCTTTTCATCTGTTTACTGCATCTCATTGAGAGATGCTGGAACTGCAGTACAGAGGGGAGGGCATCTGTCTGACCTGAGGGAACCCCCAGCACCCTAGAGGGCCCAGAGCCCACCAGGAGTGACCCCTGAGTGTAGAGCCAGGAATAAGCCCTGAGCACAGCTGGATGTGGCCCCCAAACAAACAAAGTGCCAAAATCCTTGGGTGGGGCTCTGCAGGATTCTTAGCCACTGAAGGGTTGGGAGTCTGTTGAGAGTCCCGCAGGCTTTCTTCAGTCCGAGTGCAGTGACCTGAAGGGCTGGTCACACTCACAGATGGGCTGGGGGTGGGGGTCCAGAATAGATCTTGTTTCTAAATAAGACAAGGCCTTATTTTTGTGGCTTTTATCTTTTGTCAAATATACTTAACCTCATCTCTAAAATGTCATTTTTTTAATGCTATGTCCTATCTGTAGAGTTTTAATGTGTGTGTGTGTGTGTGTGCGTAAAATTCATGATATCTTAAACACTCCATATTTTACCCTATTCCTACTGTGGATTCTTGTCACCGGGTGGACCCCTAAGCTGAGATTTCGTCCCTCTGCATTTTGATCTGTATCTGCTAATGGTTGTCTTGGAAACACTAAGGCACAAATGTTGATACAGTTGCTAGGGGGTACTGGCCAGAAACGGGCTTATTTGAAATGCTTAACGAATCTTGGAGGGGATAAATGCATTGTGCGTCGTATCGCACAGTTCACGTCTGATGCCCAGAACAGAAACTGATTTATTTCATCGAGTGTGTGATAGCACAGCGGTAGGGTGTTTGCCTTGTGCGCGGCCCGGCCCAGACGAGCCGGGTTCGATTCCTTCGCCCCTCTCGGAGAGCCCGGCAAGCTACCAAGAGTATCTCGCCCGTACGGCAAAGCCTGGCAAACTATCTGTAGCTTATTCGATATGCCAAACACAGTAACAGCAAAGACTCACAATGGAGACATTACTGGGCCCCCTCGATTAACAAGGGGAGGTCAGTGACAGTATTTCAGATATATGACGATTTTTTTTTTTTGCTTGTTTTGTTTTGGGGCCACACCCGGGTCTGTACTCCACTCCTGGAGGGCTGAGGGGACCATCTGGTACCAGGGCTAGAGCCTGGGCTGGCTGCGTGCAAGGCCAGCACCCTGTATTATCTCTCTGCCCCTGCCCCCACCCCTTTTTTTGATTGTTTGGTGCCAAAGATCAAACCCAGAACTTTACACATGCCAGGCCTCTGCTCTGCCTGACCTGCCTCCTGGCCCCAGTGACAATGTCTTAAAAACCTGTGTGGTGTTCAGGTGGAAGCTCCTGCTAGAAGTTAGGGTGATTCCTCACACCCCTCCCCAGGTTGCTTTCCATGGGAGTCGCTCCTGCTGTGATTGACTCGGAAGCGGCTTCACTGTGTGGATTCGGGATGTCATTTCTGAAACCGTGCTAGCTAGCCTCAGGCAGGTTCTTGTGGATTTGTGAGAGATTCTGAGTCTTCATATTCAGAAAATACTCTCAGAAAATACCCCGGGATCTTCTATTTATTCAGGATGCCATTTAAAATGTTCCTTCCGGATCCGATAGTAGACAGGAAACTGCATCAGAAGGAAGACAGCGGCAGCATCAAACAACATATGAAGGGAATGAAAATAGAATTTGCATAATCGGATTCTTTGCAGCCTTGTGCCAGAGATAGTCAGCTAAAACCTTCCCTGAAAGTTTGGTATCTACAGAGAGGCTTGTGTTTTTCAACCATGGAAGCAGCCGGGAAGTGGAGAAATTGCAGTAGCCTCCAAAGATTGCAGGCTTTCTGCAGTCTGATTTGTTGGTAGAGTCCATCTTGTTGCTGCCTGTGAGATCTGGAGCTGGAGGCCAGTTTACTTACTGGCTGGGCCATGGTTAGAATGAAGAATCTGTGTCTTAAAGAGAGTGTGTGCAGAAGACAGATGCTTTTTCGGCCCGACCCAGCGATGCTCAGGGGTTCCTCCTGGTTCCGCACTCGGGAATCCCTCCTGGTGGTGCTTGGGGAGCCGTATGGGAGGTGGGGGGTCGGCTGCCTGCCAGGCAAATGCCCTCTTGGCTGTGCAATTGCTTGGTATAGTAGCACAGCCAGGAGTGCTACCAAGAAGACAGATTCTGGAAATAATCTCATTTTCCAAATGTGCCCTTGAGACTGAGCTAGTAGGTAAACTTTTGTGTGCATAATTAAAGCTGTTTATACCCACTGAAAGGAGTAGGAGGGGCCGTGTCACCACTGTCCTGAGGGTGGAGCTCTGCCGAGCTGCAAGTAAGACAGGAGTCAAGGGCTAAATGGTGACGAGTGTCTTAGGTGATAGACACAAGAAATGCAAAGCTTGGATTCAAGCCGGAAGGAAGGAAGATGGGAAAGGGTGTGGGGAGTCAGACTGTCTCTGCTCGGGCCCCTGGACCCTGCCCGGCTGTGACTGGTTTGCTCTGAATGGAATCTCCCTCCAGAATTCTCCATGACCTTTGGCAGCAGAGATGCAACAGCCTTACCTGAGCAGAGCAGGGAGGCCCATCAGGAAGTTTCCTCGTGACTCTTGGAAACAGCTGAGCCCAGGGGATGGAGCGCAGTGGGGAGGCCTGCCTGCTGGCCTTGCGTGCGGCCGGCCCGGGTCTGATCGCCCAGAGCCCCCCAGGAGTGATTCCTGAGCACAGAGCCGCGAGGAAGCCCCGAGCCCCACCAGCTACGGCCCTGAAACACAGCCTCCCGGAACCCATGTCCTGGCCGCAGCTGCTGGCCACTTGGGTCTCTGGCAGCTGTGCTGGTCAGACGCGGGGTCCCAGGGAGAGCCAGGCTGGGGGAGGCGCTGGTGGCAGTAGCTCTGCCATGTCTGTCGGGGGACCCGCATGTGATTCAAGGCAGAGCGCACCTGTTCCTTCCGCTGCGGCTTCTGGCGCCGTGAGCCAGAGAACCTACGCGCTGTGCATGACTTGGGGCCGAAACCTGGAATGGGTTGGATTGCCCGCAAACTGTGGCTGTCGAACCCGGGGTTTGTGTTAGGATGGGGGGGTGCTGGTTCCTGGGGAGGGCCAGCCCCACAAGGCCCCCCCTGTGGCACTCCTATCCTGCCCGCTCTGGGCTAACAAGGACTCCAGCACGGCCGAGCTCTGGGGGCCCGTGAGTCAGGCCTTCCCTGCGTACTGACCTGGGACGAAACCCGAGTGCCCAGCCTGCCCCGAGCGCGAACTCACCGGCTCTCTGATGTCAGAGCTGACCTCGAAGCAGTTGGCCAGTGGAGCGTGACCGTGCCCTGGAATTTGATTTCCACATCTCTATGCCCGATCTACCTTGTGGGCCCTCCGGGCCCCGCTTTCCCAATGCACACGCTTTTCATGATAGGCAGAATAATTTGCTTTGGGGGCAGAGCAATAGCACAGCGGGCAGGGCGTTTGCCCGGCATGCCGCCGACCCGGGTTCAATCCCCGGCATCCCAGGGTCCCCTGAGCACCGCCAGGAGTGATTCCTGAGTGCAGAGCCAGGAGGAACCCCTGTACATCGCCGAGTATGGCCCTCCCCCCCAAAAAAAGAATAATTTGTTTTGCATGCTTGGGCATGGGTTAATAGTTTGGGTTTTGGGGGACCCGATAGTGCAGTGGTTAAGGCTCCTGCCTTGCAACTGACCCACATTCGATCCCCACATGGTTTTCTGAATCTACCAAGTGTGACTCCCCCCAAAACAAAAGTTTTATTGTATTTTCAGGGGGTGGGTCTCTCTCAGCAATCCCCACGCCCGCGGTTCTGGGGTCCAGCACGGCCGGTCCTCCTGCTCTTCAAGTCTGCCTGGCATTCAGCCGCATGGCAGATCTAAGCAGAACCATTATCTGGGTCCTTCCGTCAGGGCAGTCGGGCTGGGCCTGCCCCGTGCTCCGCCACGGGATGTCCTGGCTCCAGTGAGCGCAGGGCCTGGCCAGGGGACTGGCGGGGACAGTGGCGCCCAGCCTCCTGGTGGAGCCACTCTTGTGCTGGGTCAGCCCGCCCTCCTCCTGCTGGTGTTTGTCGTTGCGGTGGACCTGCCACGTCCCCTTCCTAGGAGGATGGGGGTCCAGAGGGGAGTCCCCCTGGCCTCGGTGGCCCGGTAGCCCCTTTACAGATAAAGAATCCCTCAGCAGGTCTGAGCGATCGTACAGCGGGAGGGCCTTGCACACTGCCCACTCCGGTTTAGTCCGTCCCCTGCAGTCATCAAACCAGCCAGGAGTAAGCTCTGGGCACCTCTGAGTACAGCGCACAGGCATGCGGGGCCCCTTCTGTGGCTGCGAGGCACGTGTGGGCCGTGGGCTTGTAGGCGCATCTGGGCCGGACTGTTCGGGAAAGGAAGGGGGCGGGTATCCAGGTCCCAGGGAGCTGCCTGGGAGGAAGAATTCCCGCTTTAATGCCGGTGATGTTTCCAAAGGGAGACAGTGAAAGGGGTCAGGGCGCCAGGAACCCAGGGGATGAATTGCCCGTCCTGCAGAAACTCGAGAGCATTCCGATTCCAAGTAAGCTTCCGGTTCAGTTTCCATGGAGTCCAGCGGGTCGGTCCAAATAAAGGCCGTGCCTTGAATTTCGGAGGAGTAGCATTATACAAATAACTGGTTTTACAGCGGAAAGATGTCATTTTCTGAGATTGTCTGTGCGCCGTGGGAGGGAAACTGGAATGTCTAGCAGTAAGAGATCGGGAAAATGTTATCCCTGGATACAACGTGTTTCCTCCTGGAGGGGCTCTGGGGCCCGAAACAGGGCGGGCAGAGCCGGTGCCATCCCCTGGCGTAAGAGAGAGAACCAGCTCCCCGCAGGGTTGTGAACGTGGGGTCCCTGGGTCCGGGGCTCTCTGGCACAGTGGAGCTCGGCCGCGGCAGGGGTGGCTACATCTCACAGAGTCGTCTGCTGTCTCCCTGCAGGTGTGGGGGGACCGTGGGCGCGATCTTCACGTGTCCACTCGAAGTCATCAAGACGCGGTTACAGTCTTCGAGGTTAGCCCTCGGGACAGTCTACTACCCTCAGGTGAACCTGGGGACCATCAGCGGAGCTGGAGTGGTGAGACCAACGTCGGTGACGCCAGGACTCCTCCAAGTTCTGAAGTAAGTCCCCGCCCCACGCACCCAGAGGACAGAGCTTCTGCTTCCCCTGCAACCTTCGTTTTGCGTTTGGATTTGGGAATGATTTTCATTTCCAGGAAAGATGCAAAATAACGTTTAGTAGAATGATTGTAAAACATAATTGTTTTGTGCCAGCTTCTTTCATTACTATTACTGCATTTTAATTAATACATCTCGTTTGCATACCGAGCAGCTAGTAAGTAAGTCAAGGTGAGTTGAGTGGCTTATCTGCTTCTGCTGAATGCAAAAATTAGTCGTTCGAAACTCCTGACGACAGTGTCTGGTATCTTTAGTTTCACTGAGAGGTTGAGTGTGTAATAGCTGATTTTATTTTATTTTATTTATTTATTTGCTTTTTGGGTCACACCCGGCAATGCACAGGGGTTACTCCTGGCTCTGCACTCAGAAATCACTCCTGGCGGTGCTCAGGGGACCCTATGGGATGCTGGGAATCGAACCCGGGTCGGCCGCGTGCAAGGCAAACGTCCAACCCACTGTGCTATTGCTCCAACTCCTAATAGCTGATTTTAATAGGGAAATTCAGGCTATCTGAAACTCCTGCTCTGGAGAAGGGGACGACTCAGCTCAGCGCTCATTCGAGGAAAGGCCGAGTGGCCGGGGAAGTGCCTGTGTATTTTAGGGATTCTGCCTAGGAACCTCCCGTGAGTCCCAGGCGCCCAGGCCAACTGTGGGTGAGGGAGCGCGATGGGGAGGGCCAGGGCTCCAGACACACACAAGAGGCGCCGGCTTGGGTGGGGGTCGGCCCAGTCGGGAGAGGGGGCCCAGGACGCCCGCACCGTCCTGCATCCCCTGGTGCCGTGACACGTCTGTGCCGAGGAACGCCGAGTGCTGGTGACAAAGCAAAACTGGGACGGGTGATTTGCCAACTTCACTCGTGCGTTCAAAATGAACTTCCTCCTCCGTTCTTGCCAAATACCTGAATATGGGTCTCAAGGTCGGGAAGGGGAGGGCGGCTGGAGGGTGACGGGGGCGGAGTCTCGGGCTGGTCCTGTCCTGCCCGCTTACCTGCCTGACCCAGTTGGGACCGTTAAAGGGGGCCGCTGCCTCGCCCCTCCTGGCCCTCCCTCCTGCCCTCCTGCCGCCTCCCCACCCCTCCCCCACAGTCCGGGTCTCGCAGGCCAGCCCCTGGCTTTGTGGGGCCATGTTCCCCATGCCTGCCGTCCACCGGGGTTTCCAGGATGCACAGAGACAGAAGCTGGGGTTCCAGTCTTGTTTGGGGCTCCACACTCCCCGGGATGCTTCTCGCTCGGCAGGACCCGGGGCTGGCTGTGGGTTTTGTTCCCCAGGCTGCTGAGACGACCCTCACGTGTCTTCCACGGTTGAACTGGACAGCGTGGTTCAGAGGTGCAGAGAGAGCACAGACTTTGAGTTTGGGGGACTCCCATGCAGCGCTGTTCCAAGGGTCCTCCTGGCTCGGAGCATGGGGGCCTCTCCCAGGGATGCTCTGGTGACCGGTGCAGAACTCGGGAGGGGTCCCTGAGCCCCCACCCCCTGGGCTGTCCCCCGTTCCAGGAGCTTTGATCCCAGGCCCAGTCGTGCTGTAAGTGGGGTGGGTGAAGGAGCCCCAGGGTGATGGCATTGCAGAAGCACTTGGCGGGGAGACAGCACCCGTTGCAGGTGTGAGGCCCTGAGGTGGAGGCGGAAGCCGGCAGAGGTGCACGCCCCACTCCCAAAATCAGCCATTGGGGCCAGAGCGGGTACCACAGGGAGAGTGTTTGCCCTGCACGCGGTCAACCCCATAAGGTCCCCCAAGCACCACCAAGGGAAATTCCTGAGTGCAGAACCAGGAGTAACCCCCGAGCATCGCTGGGTGTCACCCAAAAAGCTAAAACAAAAAACAAAAACCAAAAGCTAAATTCAGCCCTGTATTCTGTGGATCCTGGAATGAGATCCTTTTGTCAAACCACTTACTCCGGAGTTACACCAACATATAAAGGATAAGAATGAGTAAGAATAATTTTTTTCCACATATTAGAAAAATGTTTTCTAGGGCGAGAGTGATACAGTAGGAGGGCACGTTGCCTTACACGCAACTGACCTGGGTTCAGTCCCCAGCAGCACCCCAGATGGTCCCCGGAGCCCTTTGTAGCCCGCCTGCCGCTCTGAGCTGCGTCTGCCCCAGGCCCTGCTGTACGCTTCCTGGGAGTTAGCGGCCCCGGAAGCTTCTCTGCTGCCAGGCTGAACCCCGCAAGTGGTTGCTTAGTACAGCATCCGCAGGGTGACAGAGCCCAGTGCATTGCAGACCCCTTGGGGCCAGCTCTCCTCCCAAGGGGAGACGGCGCTGTCTCCCCTCGCTCCTCCACCCTTCACCCTCCTTGCAAAGCTTGCTCTCAACTGGAACTGACCTTTCTCTCTCTCTCTCTCTCTCCTTTTTCTTTTTCTTTTTTTTTTTTTTTTTTTTTTGCTTTTTGGGTCACACCCAGCTTATGCACAGGGGTTCCTCCTGGCTCTGCACTCAGGAATTACCCCTGGCGGTGCTCAGGGGACCATATGGGATGCTGGGAATCGAACCCGGGTTGGCCGCGTGCAAGGCAAACGCCCTCCCCGCTGTGCTATTGCTCCAGCCCCTCTCTTTCCTTTTTGAGTCACACCCAGCGATGCTTAGGGGTTACTCCTGGCTCTGAGCTCAGGAGTCACTTCTGGCGGTGCCCTGGGGACCATATGGGATGCCGGGGATTGAACCCGGGTCGGTGTTTGCAAGGCAAACGCCCTCCAGCCCGTCCTATTGCTCCGGCCCTGTGACCTTTCGTAGATGTAATTTTTTGGGGGGGGCCACATCCGGCAGTGCTCAGGGCTTACTCCTGCGGGGGCCTGGGGGACCATGTGGGGTGCTGGGCAAACATGTCCCCAGCCTAGTGGAACTGACCTTTCAAATGCAAGCGGCATTTGCGTGTGGCCAGTAAGCTGGTTCACCTCCGGGAACCATCTTCTCTGCCCAAGCACCACGCACCTTTGCGTTCTGAATTCAGTTACTTGAGAAAACAAAAGGTGTTACTATGCTCTTCTTTTTGGTGGGGGGTGGGGCCCACACCAGGCAGTGCTCAGGGCTGACTCCTGGCTCCGTGCTCTTTTTTGATCACTCCTGGCGGGGCTTAGGGGACCAACCATAGTGGCTGCTGGGGATCGAACCTAAGAAGTATACGAGGTGAGCGTCCTGCCCACTGTGCTGTCACTCTGGCTCCTGTTCTCCGTGATTCAGTTTACTGAGAGGGACAGTGATATGTCTATTTCAGTCTCTGCTTGTAAATGTCTTTATTTTAATTGACTCTTGGCCTTTTACCTCAGAGCCCTTCCCAGCTGTGCTTCCGGAACTCAGGGCCTGCCCCCCTCCGTGGTTCTCAACTGGCCACACAGATAGTTCAGTGCTGGGCCCTAGGGGGCCAGGCCTGCACCCCACCTATGCCCACGAGCTGTCTCATACGCGGCCCAGACTCTGTAAATTATTTTATTTTATTTTATTGGCTTTTTGGGTCACACCCACTGATACTCAGGGGTGAGGCCTGACTCTGCACTAAGCAAGTCTCCTGGCAGTGCTCGGGGGACCTTATGGGATGCCGGGGATCAAACGCTGGTCGGCTGCATGCAAGGCAAATCCTTCCCCGCAGTGCTATTACTCAGTCCCCGCTTTGTAAATTTTTATCATTTAATCTTTTTTTTTGTTTTGTTTTTTGTTTTTTGGGTCACACCTGGCGATGCACAGGGGTTACTCCTGGCTCTGCACTCAGGAGTTACTCCTGGCGGTGCTCAGGGAACCGTATGGGATGCTGGGAATCGAACCCGGGTCGGCCGCGTGCAAGGCAAACGCCCTACCCGTTGTGCTCTCTTTCCAGCCCCCTTAATCTTTCTTTCCTTTATCAGAACTCCCATCCAGACTACTCAAGTACCTTCTTAAATTCCCATTTTCTTTTGGGCTGCTCCCGGCCGGGCTCTCCATACTCAGGAATCAGTCCTGGCGGTATTGGGGGACTCTGGGGTGTCTCGGGTTCAAACCCACGTCAGCTGCGAGCAAGGCAGGCACTCTTCTGCTGTCCTCTCTCTCTGGCCCCTGTTTTTGTTATTTTCACGGTACCTTTTTGAGCTGAAACACGAGAGTCAGGAGCCAGTATCTCTCTTTCACCAGCCGGGGCTGCGATCCATCAGATCTGTCCAGGGCTTTATCTGGATCAGCCTGGGCTGTGCGAGTTAGGACCCACGTGGGCGCGGGGGCAGGGCTGCCCGAGACCCGCTTTCCTGTGCGTTTCTTTCCCCAGTGAAAATGTCCGCGACTGTCCTCTGGATCAGGGAACCTCAGCCCGGACCCTTGGTGGCTTGTTTTGAACGGGAAGCATTCCATTTATAGCAGGGACTCGATGGTTGGAGACAAGTTTTGTAAACACCCCGCTAGGTTAGAAGTTCGAATTATGTAAGAGATCTGACTTTTTGCCCACTGTTAATAGCGTCGCTATGGAGACAGGCTCTGCCGTTCTTAAAAGGCCTGAGTCACTTGAGGACACGCGTTCCCTGCGCGTTCTGCGTGAAAGACATCCAGCTCCTGAGACCCGGAGCTGCCAGCCCGTGGCCAGTGACACCTGGGGCCACACAGCCTCGGGCCTGTCAGAAGCCTTGAGGGGCTGGAGCGCAGCCCGGGTATGCGGAAGCCCCGGGTTCGATCCCCAGCCCCACACGGTCTCCCGAGCACCACCAGGAGCAGCCCAGCACTGTGGAATATGACCCTCCCTCTCAACCCCCACCCCCCCTAATTAAAAAAAAAAAAACAGAAAGAACAGGACGTTGCATGGTACTGTGCATTTGCAGAACTCTATCACAGAGTGTATTACCAGGGGTTGGCTACTTCGGGGTATTACTTGAAGGTGTCGCTCAAAGATCTTGACTTTTTAAATTTCTTTTTTTGGAAGGTGGGGGGGTTCATACATGGCGACGCTCAGAGGTTACTCCTGGCTCTGCACACAGGAATCACTCCT